AAACAAAACCCTGGGAGCAAGAATCGATAAGACAGCACAGAACCAACTCCAGAGCTCCATTTACTCTGGTTTGGGGATGGATCACAGGCTGTTTAAGGCCTCAGCTAGAAGTTGGCAGGTGGCTGAGGCCATCTTTAGGAGTTCTCTATATTCCCACAGAGATGAGAGCCCTAGGCTGAATTCTTGGTGAGAAGGGAGGGGGCAGCCACGGTGTTGTCTGGGTAGGGAGGTAGCATGGACCACTTGGCCAGCTTCCTCTGTAGAAACACCCCTTTCAGGTCCTGGGGCGGTAGCATTTCCTCCAGTGTCGGCACTGATCTGCCAACCAAAGAGAAAGGAACCTCCAGTGAGAAGAGGCTGAGGCCGCTGGCCATGAATTCCTTCCAAGTTGACTCCCTTCTGTGGCTCCAGTGTGGACCTGAGTCCTGGAGTTAGAGTTATGGCACTGCATAGAGTTAGAACCACAGCACATGAACATTCATGAAGGTCACCCAGAATGTACTAGAAAAGAGGAAAAGCCCCAACTAAGAAAAACCCAGTCCCCTGTCGAGGGCTCTTTACTTTCACAGACAACAACAAAAAGCCAGAATTCTGTTTGTACTCTGGCCCCTTATTGCTTCTGTGTCCTGTCTTCCGTGTTTCCTGTCTTCCATTGACTCCTGAGAGTCACCAGGGACATTTGGGTGAGTTAGGTTGTGACATTGGGAGCTCTCTGAACTTGAGCAGAAGGCCCCTCAGGAGCCAGTATTTTAAAGATTGGATCTCACTACGTACTCCTGGACTTGCTGTGTAGACCAGGCTGTCTTTGAACTCAGATATATCTGGAGGCAACTGAGTTCCAAAGGGATGTGGAACATGTGTCCTCAGTCACTGTCAGTGGCTTACTCATTTTATAGGAATGCAATGCCAGGCAAAGAGCTGGCTTAGACAAACGGATCAGGGAGAAGAGAAGTCCTGCCTGAGGTCAGTGCCCGAGGCTGGGGAGAAAGTGTTTCCTTTCCCTCCTGGGCTCAGATACCCAGAACCTTACTCCCTCTAGCTTGGATTGTGCCACTAAGTGGGTACCTGGTTGTAGTGACCTGGGGCTTTGGCACGCAGCTAGCCAGTCTAGCAGAACAGTCAAGTCTCATTAATGCAAAAACTTTGTTTATACAGTTCTGATTCTTAAACAGGCAGCTGTGTGTGGTCCAGGTGAGTTCAGTTCTCCAGCCTCAAAGCCAATGATGCAATCAACAAAAGTTGAAAACTGTTTGCCAGAAGTTATGGGACAAAAAGTTATTTTGAGTAAGTGTCTAACTCCAGCAGAACACAGAGCAGCCACACACCACTGCTAACGACAGCTCTTCACCTGTGTCACTGAGCTGTCACAGCTGGGGTGGAGAGTACTGCGAACCCAGGGACTCATTTACCCACTGCACATTGGCTGAGCAATTAGTACCTGTCAATCACTGCTGGTTGGTAAGGATAAAAATGGCCCTTTGTGGAGCTCGTGGTTTATTGAGTGATGAAAGCAATAAAACAGACAGCTTTTTAAAAGTGTGGTAAATGCTGGGAGAAGAGTGGTAGAGGACCCCTTGGTATCCTGATCAGAAAGCGTTGGAAGCTGGCATTTGTGGCCATGGAGGGCAGAGGTCAATGACCTCCATCATTTTTTCTCCACCCTCCTGCCCCAGACAGGGTTTCTCTATGTAGCCCCTGCTGTCCCGGAACGCTCTGTAGACAAGGCTGGCCTTGAACTCACAGAGATCCACCTGACTCTGTCTCCCAAGTGCTGGGATTAAAGGCGTGCGCCATCATTGCCTGGCCATTTTTTCTTTTTAGATAAGGCTCTCTCTGGGCTTGGAGCTCATTGATTGGCTAAACTGAACTCCAGGGATTCTCCAAAGTGCTAGGATTAACATGCAGCCTGCCGCAGCTGGCTTTTCACAAAGTGCTGGGGGTCTGAACTCAGTTCCTCAGGTTTGTGTAACCATCTCTATGCTCTGGAAGTCGGGTCTTAGAGCAGTCATACGAGGCTGAGCAAAGCCCACAGTAGACTGCTGTGGGAACACCTGGGGGGCACCCAGACTCCACACATCAAACAGAAGACAGCGGTGTGTTCTGGGCCAGCGGGCCATTTGTACACTAGAGAAGGGAGGAGAACAAACATTCCACACAGTAGTGTGAACAGCACACCTGGGAAGCGAAGAAAGTGGAGACATTACAGAGGAGAAGGCAGGGGTAGGTGAGCTAGTGAGACAGGAAGAGTCAGTGTGTGCACTGGAGTCGAAGGTCAGGCCTGTGACAACTTTGGAAGCCTAGCACTCAGCATGCCTGGGGCAGTGGGTGCAAAGGGAGGTGGGAAAGGTAGTGGAGGTCTCAAGCTACTTTAAAGATGCTTAACTAACCCATGGAGCTAGGCGTGATGGGGCACACTTTTAATTCCAGCACTTGGGGAGGCAGAGGCGAGAGGATCTGTGAGTTCCACTACAGCCAGAGCTACACAATGAGACTCTGCTGCAAAAATAAATAAATAGGGCTGGAGAGATGGCTCAGAGGTTAAGATCATTGACTGCTCTTCCAGAGGTCCTGAGTTCAATTCCCAGCAACCACATGGTGGTTGAGATCTGGTGCCCCCTTCTGGCCTGCAAGCATACATGCAGACAGAACACTGTATACATAATAAATAAATAAATAAATAAATAAATAAATAAATAAATAAATAAATAAATAAAAATAAATAAATAAAATTTAACCCCGTGACTAAAAGGCAGAGAGTTAAGTGGCTGTAGATCAACACGGTTGCAACATAGACACTGATTGGGAAGGAGAGCATGACCAGAGGGTTTTGTAGCCATCCTAGGAGGAAACTGAACCAGAACCAGTGGAAAGAAGGCAGTTGTGAGCATACCCGGGAGGTAGGTCGACTCCGGTAGGTCGACAGGTTGTTGGCTTGCTTTGCAGCGTGTGTCTGTGTTGGTGGTGGGGTGGGAGAGTAAGAGTGTATGTCATGCTTCTGACTTGGCAGCTGGGGGTGTGTGTGTCATGGGCAATCTCCAGGAACAGAATATGTGCAAACGGAACTTGGAGAGGTGCTGGCTGGAGAGACTTAGAACCATCAGCATAGAGGTGGGAGGAACGGAGTGTAGTGTGAAGCGAGAACCGGCCAGGAGGAAGGGAGAGAATTTACAGACTTTACCTACTTCCCCGTTTGGAACGCGGAGGAGAGGTAGGAGAGAATGACCAGAGGAAGATGATCAAGATTTCACAGGTGTGGGGGAGGTTTTGACCATTGTGCAATGGGTCCACTGGAGAGGTGAGCTCAGAGGCACAGATATCAGAAGACTGCGTAATGATCTAGTGGGTGGAGGTGCAGGCATTGGAATAAGGATGTAATTGTCAAGGAATTTGGCTGTGGGGTGGAGAGAAAGCCCAGCAGTTTAGAGCACTTCCTTCTCTTCCCGGGTTCCCAGTACCCACAACCGGCTGTAACTGGCGGTGATGTTCAGACGGCTGTGCGGGTACAGCTCAGCCATGTGTTGAAATATTTATGTATCAGTAAGTAGTGATGAGTAACTGCAACAGCAGGAAAAACATCAAACTCTGAAAGGAACTCGCGTCCCTTGCAACTCCAGATCCCAGCAGCCTTGACTAAAGGGATCTTCCCGCCGCACCTGCGACGTCGCAATGCCACCTGCTGGTGAAGCTGCGTCATGGCAGCGCAGAGGAAACCCTTAAAATCGCGTTTGTCGGAGCAGGGCTGTGGTTAAACGCAGCACTCCAGGAGAGACGAAACAAGAGACAAGGGGATTGCTGTGAATTTGTAGGCTCTTCTGAGCTAAATAACAAGACCTGTCTCATAAAACAAATGAAAATTATCTTTGCGCTGTTGGGTTGCTACTGCTTTTAAACATTTAGCTTCATCCTTCCATTCCTGGCAGGATTCAATGACTTACTATTAAAGCTGAACTTGAATGACGACACGGCAAAGTTTGGAAAATTAAAAAAAAAAAAATTATCTTGGGCATACAAAGAGGGCTCAGTGGTTAAGCGGACAGGCTGCTCTTCCAGAGACCCTGGATTTGATTCCCAGTATGCATATGGTGGCTCACAACTGTCTGTAACTCCAGTTCAGATCCCTCTTTTAGCGTGAGAACCTTTTGATTCTCAGGAAAAACAAAAAAAGGACACGAATGAGCTCAAGCTCAGGATTCTTCTGTTACAATGTAAAAAGTAGAATAGTATGAAAATTATTTCTAGTTTTTTAATTTTTAATTTGAAGAATAGGGCTGGAGAAATGATTCAGCAGTTAAGTGTGCTTGCTTGTTAGTCAGGCGGTGGCGCACACCTCTAATCCCAGCACTCCGGAAGCAGAGTCAGGTGGATCTCTGTGAGTTTGAGGCCAGCTTGGTCTACAGAGCGAGATCCAGGACACCCAGGGCTACACAAAGAAACCTTATCAAACCAAAACAAAAAACCAAACCAAAACAAACTAAAAAGAGTGTGCTTGCTCTTGCAGAGGACCTGGGTTTGGTTGCTAGCATCCAGGTCAGGCTGCTCACAACTTCCTATAACATCAACTCCAGAAGATCCAACACCCTCTTCTGGACTTCGTGGGCAACTTGTTCTCACATATACTTAAACACAGACAGACACACACACACACACACACACACACACACACACACACACACACACACACACACACACACACACACACCTCCCTCTCCCTCCCGAGCGTTGGGATTAAAGGCGTGCGCCACCACCGCTCAGCCCGAGTTAATTTCTAACACCATCTAACAGTCCATCTCTCGGGTGAAACGGTCCCTGCGGGGTTCATGCACATTGGAGCCCGGCGGCTGGCGCTTTGGCGGAGCCTTTAGTAGGTGGAGTCTTGCTGACGGAAGTAGGTCACTGGGGGTGGGTTCAAGATTTGGGCCCCGCGGCTCACATCCGCTTCTGTTTTCCGGAGGGGGTCCGCCATCATCGGCCGTGCGTGTTCATTCTTAAACGGTAAGCCAAAATAAACCTTTTAAAGTTGCTTCTTGTCGGAAATTTTGGTTATTAAAGCAAGAGAAGATTACAGTCCTCGGACCTTTCCGACTTGGAGCGCCGTCTCTAGTTCTTTTGATTTTTTATTTTCCTGGCCTGGGTTTTAATTTTCCCCAGCTTTGCTTATTTGGATCTAATGGACAAAATGGTGCATGTGTGAAGTACATGACACAGTGTTTGGGGCGGCGGAGATTGTTCAGTCTGTGGAATGCTTGCTTGCCTTGGACTTGAGAGCCGGGTCCACAGAAATCTCGTAAAATAGCGGAGTGTGGTGACTCGTGTTTGCAAACACAGCTGGGAGGAAGAGGCAGGCCGATTCCCGGGGCCACTCGGCCGGCCAGTCTACCCTCCTCAGTGAGTTCCAGGACAGTGAGAAGCCTTGTGTGGAAGGGAGGAGGCTGCCGTAGGAAAGATCTGGTCACACGTAAGTGGGTTGAGTTACGACCTTCTCATAATGCATAGAATGTATTTTGTTCATATTCACCCCACCACGCCCTTCCCGCTCCTACTGACCACCTTTCTCTTTTCAGATCGGTTTTTAAAAATACTGTGCTTTTTTTTTTTTTAAAGACAAGGTTTCTCTTTGTAGCCCTGGGTATTCTGGAACTTGCTCTGTAGACCAGGCTGGCCTGGAACTCACACAGATCCTCCTGGCTCTGCCTTCCAAGTGCTGGGATTAAAGGCGTGCGCCACCACCGCCCGGCCCCCTTCACTTTTTGTGGCTGAAAGACAGACATGGCTAAGAGCTGGACCCGGGTTCCTACTTTAGCAATGGTGGTGTCGGTGCCCCTTACATATGCCCGAGTGCTGATATGCTGAGGATACTGATGGAGAACCTGGGCCGGCCGCTCCCTCCCTCTCCGTTCAGGAAATTCGCCTGGACACATTAGCTGTTTAATAGCATCTTGCTGTATAGGAGTTAACTGTTCAGAACACATCCCCATCACTTCTCTTTGCTGTTAGGCCGATGATGACAGTGATTAAAAGATTTTTCAGAGAAGAACAGATGCCTTGGAAGGAGACAGCCACATTGAAGAGCGGCAGGATTTTCCTCGCTGTGTCCATCCTGCCCCCTTATGTGTTCTCTTGGAGAGGGACCAGCTCCCCCTCCCTCCACGTCTGTCACCTCTAGGCGATGCCATTCAATTTTTTTTCTTTTATTGTGTTTTTTTTTATTTGTTTATTTTTTGAACATAAAAACAGGGTATAATTCAAAAGTCCAGAGTTATTTTAAACAGTAAAATATTTTCTCTGTAGAAAATAGTAAAAATGATAACATTTCCCAATATGCCCTTTTAAGCCAAAAGATAGCTGAACTAGACATATAAATACTGATTAGATTCTGGGATACAGAAGAAACCTATCTCCATCTGTTCAGAGAGCTGTGTGTGTTTTTTTTTTTAAAGACTTATTTATTTATTATGTACACAGAAGAGGGTACCAGATCTCATTATAGATGGTCGTGAGCCACCATGTGGGTGCTGGGAATTGAACTCAGGACCTCTGGAAGAGCAGTCAGTGCTCTTAACCTCTGAGCCATCTCTCCAGCCCCGAGAGCTGTGTTTTACTTAAGTTGTGTAAGTGAGATTCCTATTCATCTTCCCCTTCATTGTTTGATTTACGGCAGACATTTTTCTGTAGGCTAATCCATAATCTAAAAAGATTTTAGCCTCCCCTCCTGAAAGTATGGCCAGCATTTTCTTTCATCAGCTTGATACGGTACAAATTCTTATTCTAATAGTGAAATGTTTCACTAAGGCTTGCCCAGTGATTGGGCAAAACCAAAACTTATTATAAGCCACAGTCACCCTAGGCCCACCCCCCCTTGGTAGCCTCCCTGGATCTGTGGGCTGCAGTCTGATTGCTCTTTGCTTATATCTAGTGTCCACTTATGAGTGAGTACATACCATATTTGTCCTGGGTTTGGGTTACCTCACTCAGGATGATAATTTCTAGTTCCATCCATTTGCCTGCAAATTTCATGATGTCATTGTTTTTCTCTGCTGAGTAGTGCTCCATTGTGTATATGTACCACATTTTCTTAATCCAGATGCCATCCACTTTTACGGTTAAGGTTCTTATGTTTTTTTGTTGTCTCCACCCCCCCCCCCCCACCATGTGGTGATTGAACCCAGACCCTGGCATGCACAGGGTATAGTTACTGCAGCCTAGAGTGTTTTCTGGTTGGTTGCCCTGATAGACATAACAGCTGATAAAACGGTCCCTGCATGGAACATCTTGGTTGTTCCTCCTCATGACACTTTCACCTGGCTTTCAGAGAGCTGGGACAGAGTGGCATCCATGCCCTCCTGTTTTCTTATGCTGTCCTCTTAGGTGTTGGCTTTGCAGTTGAAGCTGCTGTACCACTGGGGGGCACCAGCAGGCCCTGCCTGTGGGGTAGGTTGACAAATCCAGGTGTTTGTCTTGCGCCACTGCGCTGCATACTGACCTTGACACTGGACCCTGGGAGGTGGAGTCAGTGAGTCTGGGGTGCGGGCAATGCCCTGCCACGGTGCTAGGGTGACTTTGAGTCGTCTGTAGTTTGAATTACTAGAGCCTGGGAGGTATGCATGGGAACCACCACCCAGGGTATCGAGGACAAAATAGACCTGGCCCAGTTGAGTTCATCAGCAGTGCGCCCGTCTTAGATAGAGGCTGTGACGTGTTGCTCTGAACACCCGCCAGCTGAGCCGATTAACTAAATTATCTCGTATTTGGCCGTGATACGTAGACAGCGATGTTAAAATGCCACAGCTCTGAGGTTGGTGAAGGGAGATCTCTCCAATGGGACAGAACTTAGGCAGTGTTTCTAACTGTCCCCTTCAAATGGAGGGATGCTGAGGTGAACCGCTTCACCCAGTTACCACGTTGTCAGGGTGGTCAAGGGACTTGTAAAGGTCGAGATTGTAAGATCAGTGACAAGTCTGAGGAATGAGAGTGTAAGCTGGGGATGGTGGCCCTCGCTCGCCTTTAGTCCCAGCACTCAGAGGCAGGCGGACCTCTGTGAGTTCGAGGCCAGCCTGGTCTTCAGAATTCCAGGACAGCCAAGGCTCCAGAGAGAAACCCTGAATTTCAAATAGTCTTGACTTACCAAAATGGCCACTAGAGGGCAGCCTCTGACAGGAGGTTGAGTGTCAGCGGCCGGTCACGTGTCAGGCCACACCCTCTCCTCACTAGGCACAGCCAGCTCTGTCACTCTTGAGTCCAGCCTGCCAAGAGTGAAGGATGGATCTGGCCAGAATTCTGGCGAGGAGCAACCTGTCTTTCGCAGCTGGTGGCTTGCCTGCTTTTGGTTCATTCATTCTTTGAATTTGTCTTCACAGGATTGTTGCACGTTTTGTCTCACTTCCTGTCTTAAACCATTATTTCTGCCAGAATTATCACTCTTTCACAGTGTAGCCCAGGGTGGCCTAGAAAACACCATCTTTCTGCCCCAGCCTCCCGGGAGCAGGGTTTGAAGGAACTCACCCCCACACCTACCCGGCTTCCTGTGGCTACCTCACCCCACTTTGCGCTCTCTATGCTGGTGGAATTGTCTACATTACCTCTTTGCAAGTCATGTTCAGTGATATCTCTTTGCAGTTCTTTTTAAATGTATTTATTTCTATTTTATGTACATTGGTGTTTTGCCTTGGTGTCAGGAAACTGGAGTTATAGACAGTTGTGAGCTGCCATGTGGGTGCTGGGAATTGAACCCAGGTCCTCTAGATGAACAGTTCATGCTCTTAACCACTGAGCCATCTCTCCAGCCCCTCTTTGCAGTTTTTAACATCACATAAATGAGCAAGTTTGGGGCCGAGGACATAGATTAGTCAGTAAAAAATGCTTTCCCTGTAATTGTGAGGGTCTCATCTCAAATTCCCAGAACCCATGTGGGAAATATGGCATGTGGCTGCCGGTCATCCCACACTAGGGAGGCAGAGGCATGAAGATATCCGGGGCTTCCAGGCCAGCCAGGCATGCTCAGCTAGCCAGCTTCTGTGGGCTTGGGCTGCAGATTGACTTAAAAGCTGATCAGGACCACTCATGACTCCCCGCTCCCTGATTCACAACGTGACCAACGCTTTGCCTTCCCTGCGGTGATGGATTGTGTGTTCTCAGAGGGTGGACCAAAAGAAATACTTCTTCCTGGAGTGGATTTTTTTGTTTGTTTGTTTTCCTTTTCTTGTTTTTTTTTTGAGGTACTTTTTGTACTGCTAAAAGTAATGAACACATTTAGTAGATATTTTCTGACCTGTAATTTTCTCACTTAACTTCATTACTCAGTGTGGTTGAGTAAGAACGGCCCCCATAGGCTCAGATGAGTAATTGAATGCCTGGTGGCCTGCTGGGAAGGATTAGGAGGCGTGGTCTTGGAGGTTTCAAAAGCCCTTGCCAGGCCCAGCCTCAGTCTCTCCCTGCCTCTCCTGCCTGTGGGATCATGATATAAAACTCTCAGCTGCTTTTCCAGCATGTGTCTGTCTGCATGTAGGCATGCTTCCCATCACGGTGATAATGAACTCACCTTCAGAAGCCCCGTTAACTGCTTTCCTTTATTTATGAATTGCCTTGGTTGTGTGGTGTCTCTTCACAGAAATGGAACAGTGACTAAGACACTCAGGAATTTCTGACTTAACCCAAGAAGTTCACTGAAAAGTCTCAATATTTCTTTGCCTGGTACTGTTGACCAGCGAGGGGGGGGGGCAGGGGCGGATGGGACTGAGAGACTGAGACTGGGATTGTACAGGAATCCAAGTCTGTGTCACCCTGTCCAAGATCCCGTCTGGTGAGAGGCTGGCAGGTGCAGAGGCAGCGTGGGTGGACACCAGGACACTGTGAGGAGAGAGACAGCTCTGTCCTCTGTTGTTTTTTCCTCTTCTCTCTTGATACTAATTGCATTCCCTAAATAGCTATTGTAAATTACCTTATGCAAGGACACCACCTGCCTCCTGCTGTGCCTTGACTCTTAGTTTCTTATGGAAATTAGGGAAACAGATTACTTAAGTACTGGGAGAATTGGGCTGGCTTAGTGGGTAGAGGCATGAGTCACCACGCTTGATGGCATGAGTTCAGCTCATGTGGGTCATGTGGGCAAGAACCCACTCCCACAAGTTGCCATCTGGCCTTCACATGTGCACCTTGGTGTGTCACATTCCTAATAGATAGAACAAAACTTTATTTTAAATTCTGATGAAAATAAACATCTTTAGAGACTTCAGATGTGTATATATAGTGTATATATATAGTATGTATATAAGCGTGTATCAGTTGTACAAAATAGAACAGTTGTTGAAGTTAGCCAGATATCTTAATACAGCTTTTTCAGATTAACCACTTCGGTGCACACGTCAGTGGCAGTGAGGGCATCCGTGTCTTTCTGTGACCATTCCCACCATCTGCCCCCAGAACTTCTTCTCCTTGTAAAACTGAAACTCTGCACCCATC